TTAACAAATCTCATTCTTTAACTAGGTAAGTTCTTTCCTATTATCAGTAAAAAATAGAATAAGCAAGTAAAGATTGGGAAATGAGCATGTTTAGGGAAATAAATCTACTACTAAATGAAAATGATACAATTTAAGTAGAATACATCACAAAATAAACAGCAATGGGAGCAATATTTCAAAATTAAGAAATCAAGACACTGGGAAAAAAATATAGAATGTAGAACATTCTCATTTTTTCAAATTTAAACCAGTTCTCATTTTAGGATTATAAAAAGTTGATTGCCCAATAATCTAGAACTGGGCATAAAGTTGGCTTTAAATTATCTGCAACTCAGCCAGGTAGTCCCAGCGGCTCAGGAGGCCGAGACAGTAGGATTTCAAGTTGAAAGCCAGCCTCAGTAAAATTGAGGTGCTAAGCAACTCAGTGAGACCCCTGTCTCTAAACAAAATACAAAATAGGGCTGGGGATATGGCTCAGTGGTCAAGTGCCCCTGCAATCCCCGGTACACCCCCTCTAAAAGAAAACTTATCTGCAACTCAGGCAAAAGGATTAAAGGTAAGGGATGTGGGAGTGGACAAAGAATCTCTTCCAAATGTTCATTTTAACTACAACATTGATTGTGTTAGTTCTTTTAACACCACCTGAAATTTCAGACACACATCCAAGTGCCTCCTCAATATTCTGACTTGGCACCTAAAATTGAATTACTTTTCCCATTCCACACTATACCAAAATCTATTCTTCATACTATTTTACCTATTACATTCTTCATCACAGCTCAGGCTTTGAAACCAAGCCAGACACTTAGAAGTCATCCTAAACATTCTAGTTACCACTCCTTTCTCTTATTACCTACAGCCAATCATCAAATCCTGAAGATTTTAGCTCCAAAATATTTTTTGTCTTGTGGAAATCCACCTTCCACACTAAAAAAATTTACCTAGTTCTCTCGTCAGATTTCCCATCAGCTGCCTTCCAAATAAAAACTACTCTCTGGGTTTGTATATAACCTTACCAGATCTATTCTCTAGCCTTTTTTTTTTTTTTCCTTCCCTTTCATTGCTATTAGCTGCCTCATCCCCAGCCCCCACCCTGTTCCAGGTATTAAACCCAGGGGTGCTTTACACTGAGCCACATCCTCAGCCTTTTTATTTTTTATTTTGAGACAGGGTCTCACTAAGTTGCTTAGGATCTAAGTTGCTGAGGCTGGTCTCAAACTTATGATCCTGCCCCTCAGCCTCCTGAGTCTCTGGGGTTACAGGCATGGGACACCGTGCTCAGCAGTTGCCTCATTCTTTAGGCTGCAGTAATAATAATAGTTCCCTATCCACTTTGTGCTCAACACATGCTTCTACCTTCATTCTTTCAACCAGTTCTTATCATTATTTAAAATTCAGTCCAAGTATCATTACTCCATAATGAACTCCACATCCACAAATTCATTGTGTAAACCCTGTAATTATCTCTACTTCTTAATAAATCACACTGAAATAATCTGTTTCTATTGAAATAACCTTTCTATATATATAACTGTACTAGACTGAAACAGTCTTGAAGGCACAGAGCTTATCTATAACTCCAATCGCCTGATATACATAACTTAATCTTGGTTGAAATAAAGCATAATTTTTTTTTTCATTTCTCTCAAAAAGACTACATAATGGCTGGGCCTGATAGCATACACTTGCAATTCCAGTTACTCAGAAAGCTGAGGTAGGAGGATAACAAGTTTGAGGCCAACTTTGGCAACTTAACAAGCCCGTAAGCTTGTTAAACTAGGGTTTTTGGAACCAGGCACTGAACCCAGGAGCAGATAACCACTGAGCCACATCCCCAGCCCTTTTTATTTTTTATTTAGAGACAGAGTCTCCCTAAGTTGCTTAGGACCTATATTGCTAAAGTTGATTTTGAACTCGTGATCCTCCTGCCTCAGCCTCATGAGCCACTGGAATTACAAAGCAAGCGCCACAGCAACAAGCCCCTATGTCAAAATAGAAAATAAAAAGAACTGGAGATGTAGCTCAGTGTAGAGTACCCTGGGTTCAATCCCCAGTACCACCACCCCACAAAAAAAAAAAAAGAAAAGAAAAAAAAAGAAACGGGGGAGGATGGGAGGAAAACTATATCACTGAAACAAACAGTCCTCACTACACTAATCAATTCTTGCTCACAAAAAGGGTGTATAAATAAAACTAAAAATGTTCTTCCTCATAAGATTTCCTTCCTCTTAACAAAATTTCTGATACTAAGCAATCTCTGAGGCAGACAATTATGGTTTCAATTTGTCTATGTTAATAAGTTATAATAATGATAAAAACTCAGTTGCTACTGAGATCTTGAGCGCACAAATTTCTTCCTAAAAAACATGAAAGGAAAACAGTATACTGCATATAAAAGATTCTTAACAAATTATCTAAAACTAACTACTGCGCTGACTTTCAAACAAGCATATTTGCTGAATAAAGGAGAATAACAATATACTAATATATCACACATTGAAAGGGAAATAAGAAGTTATTGGACATTTGTAGTAGTACACACTTATAATTCTAGCTACTCAGGAGGCTGACACAAGGAGGATCACAACTCTGAGGCAAGCTGGGGCAACTTAATGAGAACCTGTTTCAAAATTTTTTAAAAACTTAAAAAGTGCTGAGGATGTAACTCAGTGATACAGTGCTTGCCCAGCATACACTATTTAACAACAACAACAAAAAGGTGTTGGACATCAGATCTGTGCATTTCACTACATATAGGTTTTACCTAAAAAAAAAAAAAAAAAAAAAAAAATTAATCCTGTAGCACTTTAGTAAAGATAAACACATATGGAGTTGGGGGGAGCTGGTGCTGTGATTCAATGATAGAGGATCTGCCTAGCACGGATAAGGACCAGGGTTCCATCACTAGCACCAAGAGAAAATAAATAAACGTTAAAAAGTCTTCAGAATAGGTGTGGTGGCACACACCAGTAATCCCAGCTACTTGAGAGACTGAAATAGGAGGATCAGAGCTGGATCACAGCCTGGGCAGCTGTGCAAGACCCTCAAAATAAAAAGTGGCGGTGTGTTTGTATAGCATATGTGAGGCCATGGGCTCAATCCCCACAGCCACACACACACACACACACACACACACACACACACAGTCTTCAGAATAGTTCCGCACTAATAAAATACAGATGTTATTGGACTAGATGACCCTCTACTATCTCTAAAATTAAAACACAGACATTATTGGACTAGGTGACAGCTCTGGTCTTTACTAGCTCCTAAATTCTAAGGAGCCATTAATTTTTACTTTACCTTAAAAATGGTATAACTCCTAGCCAGGAATGGTAGCACATGCCTGTATTCCCAGCAGCTCAGGAGGATTGAGAGTTCAAACCCACACTCAGCAACTCAGAGAGGCCCTAAGCAACTCAGCAAGACCCGGTCTCTAAATTAAAAAAAAAAAAAAAAAGGCTGGGGATGTGGCTCTGTGGTCATCTGTCTCAGTTCAACCCCTGGTACCAAAATATATATATATATATATATGATTCCTAAATTCATATTAACACTTATATCAAAGAAAGAAAAAGCTAAAAGTCATCACCAAATGATATTTTTAAAAGTGGTAGCATCCATTTCCACTGAAGTCTGTATTTCCAGGCTGATGAAATCAATGGCTCAGGTATCAACAGCTATTCATTTTTATTGTTCACTACTTCCCTAAGTCATTAAATGAATTCAGAGAAAGAGATATCTGTCTCCCAATAAAAATCAAATAAATTAGGGGAAAATGAGTAAGTACAGTAGCATCTATAGAGTAACAACTCCCAAGAAAGGAACCATCTTTTTCTTTCCTTCACAATACAATGTGTGATAAATATAGGTGGACTTCTTTTTTTTTTTTTTGTTTTCCCTAGACACATGTTAGGCAAGTGCTGCCATACCACTGAGCTATATCTCCAACCCTTTTTAAAATTTCATTTTGAGACAAGGTCTCACTAAATTGCCCAGGCTGACCTTGAAATTCTGATCCTCCTGCCTCAGCCACCTGAATAGGCAGGTGAAACATTTTTTACTTATATATTTCTGTTTATCTTATTAGTTAATAATATAGGCTTCTTCAGAAACTACAAAATAAATCAAAAACATCTGGCAAAATGTAGAAACTATATCAAGAATAAAAGAGCTGCTAAGTTAGGCTGAAAAAATTATGGGAGGGTTCCCCCTCCAAGTTTCTTTCAATGAACAACAACACAAAAAAGTGATTTTTTTAAAACCATGATTGATTTATTTTCTCTATAAAAACAATATGTGGGCTATTAGACTACTGATGACTAAAAAACTATGTAAATACATATTGATTTTTAAAAAGATGACATTATTCAGTTGATCACTAAAAATACATAGTAAGGTAGTCATTCAGATAGGTTTTTCTTTTCTTATTTTTTGCAATGCTAGGGATCAAAACCAGGACCGTTTGCATGCTTCACCACTGTTGTTCTACCACTGAGCAAAAGACCCAGCCCCCTGTTTTTAAGTACTACTTTTAGCACCCCAATTTAAAATCATATGTCCTTATCAAAAATACCATTAGGGAAAAGTCAGTATTTATTATGGACACAATGAGATATTTGTACTTCTGTAACCTAAGTTTTAATAGAGCAATAATTTGGAGATTGTTTTAACTATATCCACTGAACATAATTTTGTAAAAATTAACATAACATTTTACAAAAAAAAAAAAAGCCATGTGTAAGAAAATTCATTCCAATAATATTTTAAAATAAAATGTTAGGCTTGGCACAGTGCTATGCACCTGTAATTCCAGTTACTTGCCCAGGCCAGAGGATTTCAAGTACATGCTTAGCCTGGGTAACATAAGGAGACTCTGTCTCAAAATAAAAAATAAAGGCTAAGGGTGCAGATCAGTGGTAGAGTGTCTCTGGGTTCAATCCCCAATACTGCAAAAAATAAATAAAACCAAATAAAATATTAGCCAGGTACAGTCCCACCTGTGATCCCAGTTACTCAAGAGGCTCAGGCAGGAGGATCGCTTGAGCTCAGGAGTTCAAGGCCAGCCTGGGCAACAGAGGGAGACCCCATCTCAAAAAAGAAAAAAAGAAAAACATTATTTTAGCAAGAATATAGATCATAATTCATAAGAACTAAGTACTACACTTCACTCTTTTTCTCAACAAGCTGACAGGCAACTTGATTGACACAAGTTATTATTTCTAACCATATTATTTCTTTTCTACAGAATGTGCACGATTTTTTCTTAAGTGGACTCACCTATATACAAATTTTAATATACTAACTGGATGTATCAACAAATAATTCTTTAGATTAAAAAATCTAACTTAATTTTAGCAGAATTTTCCTTCGTTTTTTTTTTATACCTTTTCAATAAAAACTTCCATATGTGATACTGGGCACAACGTGGCACAACTGTAATCCCAGATACTCAGGAAGCTGAGGCAGGAGAATTACAAGTTCTAGGCCAGCCTGGGCAACACAGTGTAAGACCCTGTCTCAAAATAAATAAAAAGGGCTGGGGATATAGCTCAGTGTTAAAGTGCCCCTGGGCTCAATCGCTAGGCCAATACTGGCTAGAGAAAAAGAGGAGTACTGGGACGAAATTGAGGAAGACAATGTTTATAAAAAGTAAATTTTTACTTGAATTACTATCTAAAAATTAGTATAATCATAATTCTATAATAGAAGTTCTCTTGTTTACTATTACTAAAGGAAAATTAAGGGGCTGTGGATGTAGCTCAGTGGTAGAGCACTTGTCCAGCACATGTGAAGCTCTGTGTTCAATCCCCAGTATGACACCTCCCCCCAAAAAGAAAATGTATGAGAAAATTAAAAAGCATATCCCTAGCCAGGCACTGTGGCGCACACCTATAATCTCAATGGCTTAGGAGGCTGAGGTAGGAGGATCCCGAGTTCAAAGCCAGCCTTAGCAAAAGTGAGGCACTGAGCAACTCAGTGAGAGCCTGTCTCTAAGTAAAATACAAAATAGCGCTGGGGATGTGATTCAGTCAGTGGTTGAGTGCTCCTGAGTTCAATCCCAGGTACACCCCCCCCCCCAAAAAAAGCATATCCCTGCTGGTGTTGGGGTACATGACTGTTTAAAATGTGATTATAGGGCTGGGGTTGTGGCTCAGTGGTAGAACACTTGCCTAGCATGTGTGAAGCACTGGGTTCAATTCTCAGACCCACATATAAACAAATAAATAAATAAAGGTCCATAAATAACTAATAATTTTCTTAAATGTGATTGTAAGTATTTTAAAAATAATTTCTATTAAATTATTTATTTATTCTAATTTGTTATACATGATGTCAGAATGTAATTCATTTTATATTACACATATAGAGCACAAATTTTCAAGTCACTGATCGTACACAAAGTATTTTCACACCATTCATGTCTTCATACATGTACTTAGGGTAATGATGTCTAACTCATTCCACCATCATTCCTAACCCCTTGCCCCCCTTTCCCCTGCCTTTCCTTTGCCCTATCTAAAGTTCCTCCTTGCCTCCTATGCCCCTGCCCACACACTCCCCCCATAGCCATTATGAGTCAGCATCCTCATATCAAAGAAAATATTTAGCCTCTGGTTTTTTGGGATGGATTCAAACTAAAAAGCTTCTTCTCAGCAAAAGAAACAATCAGTGAGGTGAACAGAGAACCTACAGAATGGGAGCAAATCTTTACCACAAGCACATCAGATAGAGCACTAATCTCTAGGATATATAAAGAACTCAAAAACCTTAACGCCAAAAAAATAAATAATAATAACCCAATCAATAAATGGGCCAAGGAACTGAACAGACACTTCTCAGAAGAGGATATACAATCAATCAACAAACATGAAAAAATGTTCAACATCTCTAGCAATTAGAGAAATGCAAATCAGAACTATTCTAAAATTTCATCTCACTCCAATCAGAATGTCAGCTATCAAGAATACAAACAACAATAAGTGTTGGCTAGGATGTGGGGGGAAAAGGCATACTCATACATTGCTGGTGGAACTGCAAAATAGTACAGCCAATATGGAAAGCAGTATGGAGGTTCCTTGGAAAACTGGGAATGGAACCACCATTTTACCTAGTTATCCCACTCCTCAGTTTATATCCAAAGGACTTAAAAACAGCATATTACAGGGACACAGCCATATCAATGTTTACAGCAGCACAATTCACAATAGCTAAATTATGGAACTAACCTAGATGCCCTTCAGTAGATGAATGGATAGGGAAACTTTGGTATATATACACAATGGAACATTACTCAGCATTAAAAGAGAAAAAAATCATGGCATTTGCAGGTAAATGGATGAAGTTGGAGAATGTAATGCTAAGTGAAGCAAGCCAATTCTAAAAAACCAAAGGCCGAATGTTTTCTTTAAAAATAATTTTTATCTGCACATCAGGAAATTGAAGGATTTTGGTAACACATGCCCATAAACCCAGAAGCATGAGAACCAAGAGGATCACAAGTTCCAGACCAGCCAACTTGGTGAGGCCCTGTCTCAAAATATACCCAGTTCAATCCCTAGTACCAAAAAAAAAAAAAAAAAAAAAAACATTAAAAAAAAAAATAAAAAGAAAATTTTGAAATGAAGGGATTACATAAGTATTTTAATTTAACAAAATACACCAAAGCAGATATTTATAAGGTTAATAAGAGATAGTTAACCTAATTCAATAGAATAATCATACATATTTGGGGATAACCAGGAAAAAATTATTACTACAGCAAATAATCACATTTACCTCATATATATGTATATATGTATGTGTTGCAAATAAAATATATTTTATTTATATGTGGTGCTGAGCCTTGAACCCTGGGCCTCACACATGCTAGGCAAGTACTCTACCACTGAGCCATAATCCCAGCCCCTAATATTTACCTCTTAAAAAAACATTTTTGTGTGTCCCGAATATTTAACCAGTAGTATATTCTCTCTCTTTTTTAAAAAAAAATTTTTTTAGTTGTATACAGACACAATATCTTTGTTTTATTTATTTATTTTTGTATGTGGTGCTGAGGAATGAACCCAGTGCATCATGAATGTGAGGCAAGTACTCAACCACTGAGCTACAACCCCAGTATATGTCTTTTAAGCATACTTTAAATTCCTACCAAAAGATTACATTCATTAGTCAACATGAGAAACTTATAAAATATCAGGTTATGCTGCTAACAGGGTCTTTTTTTTAAATAATGTTATTGTATTTTTTATATCTTTATTTACTTTTTTCATGTGATGCTGAGGATTGAACCCAGTGCCTCACACATACTAGGCAAGCACTTTACCACTTACAACCACAGCCCCACTAACAGGGTCTTAAGATTTATTTTAAACAACTTCATTGCTTTTTTTGTTTCCTAATTTCTCCATTAAGTTTTCATCCTAGAAGAAAGTTTCCTGAACTATACAAACTGCTATTAATAAACTTTAATCCCAATTATTTCTGAAGTATTCAAATGCCTTTTTACTAGTATATTGTTTTATATTTCTTTAACCAACAGCAATAAACACATTTCCTTGTGTTTGGACAACTAACATGAAAGCCTGACTGCTAGAACTCTAGACATAATTCCTTTTATTCAATATATAAAAACATAATTCCTTTACATATGAAGCCCCTAGCAGAGTCAAATGGTCCATTGTGAACTGATGTTAAAATTCTATGTTTGTGGGCTGGGGTTATGGATCAGTGGTAGAGCGCTTGCCTAGCATGTGTGAGGCACTGGGTTCAAACCTCAGCATCACATAAAAATAAATAAACAAAATAAAGGCGTTGTGTCCATGTGCAACAAAAAAAAATTTTAAAAAAAATTCTATGTTTGTGACAGGGTGGTGGTGCATGCCTATAATTCCAGCAGCTCAGGAGGCTGAGGTAGGAAGATCCCAAGTTCAAGACCAGCCTCTGCAATTTAACAAGGCCCTAACAACTTAGTGAGATTCTGTCTCAAAATTAAAAATAAAAAAGAACTGGGGATGTGGCTCAGCGGTTAAGCACGTCTGGGTTCAACCCCCAGTACAAAAAAAAAAAATTTACATTTTTTGTAATGTCTTGTCTCACCATTCCTTACTGCCAGATTTACAAAACTGCCAAAGACTCCAAGAGGCCCAAGCTACTCACTATGATTCTACCCCCACTATGTCTGTCTTTTCTAGAAAACACTCCTACATTGCACAACTCTCCTAGTAACAGCCAGTATATTAACTTAACTTTCCTATGTTCTGTTGTCTCTGAACCCTCAACTGTCTGATATCAAGTTTAATATGGTAAGTGCTGGACAGTAGCACATGTCTGTAATCCCAGTGCCTAGGGAGACTGAGGCAGGAGGATCATAAGTTCAGAATCAGCTACAGCAACTTAGCAAGGCCCTAAGCACATTGGGGAAACCCTGTCTCAAAATTAAAAAGGGCTGGGATGTAGCTCAGTGGTAAAATACCCCTGGGTTTAATCCCCAGTACAAAAAAAAAAAAAAAATCAATGTATATTAGTTATTGATGAGCCTTTATTTATGTGGTGCTGAGAATCGAACCCAACGCCTCACACATGCCAGGCAAACACTCTACCACTGAGCCACAACCCCAACCCCTGAATCTGTAATTTTAAACAGTGCATTTTCAAAAGAATTCCATTAGACACTAGACACAAAATAAACTGGGCACTTGCAATTCACAAGTTATACCACACCTCAACCAGCTAGTCTACTTATTTGTAATGTAGTTCCAATTACAATTTAGTTGAGTTTAAATTAAAAGTTAATGTAGTCATATAGTCATTAGCAAATTTATATCCTGGCTAGAAATACGCCCCAGGGCAAGTGTCTTTTAAGTGAAAACTAAAATTGCAATTGTCTAGTTTTAAAATAGGTGTCATATCTGTTAAATACCCTCATCCTCAAAGTAGAGCAAATGATCCTCCAGAGCCAATCCTGTTTAAAATGGTTAGGTAACTTTTTTCTTCTAATGTTTTTTTCATTGTTGATGGGATTCCATTGTTATTTATTCATATGCAGTGCTGAGAAAGAAGCCAGTGCCTCACACATGCTAGGCAAATGTTCTACCACTGAGCTACATCAACTCCAGCCCTAGGTAACTTTTTAAACTACTCATACAAATTACACAAAGGCACACCATATAGGAGGTTCTCTCAGCATATTTGATATACATGACTTAAGGAGTCTTTACCATTTTATGCTTTCAAAGAAACATACCTACAGAATTAGATACTGCTTTTTTCAAATTCTGGCAAATCACTTTATTTTTTATTTTTAGTGTTTTCTTAGTTGTCAATGGACTTTATTATTTTATTTATTTATATACTGTGCTGAGATCGAACCCAGTGCTTCACACATGCTAGGCAAGTGTTCTACCACTGAGCCACAATTCAGCCCAAATCACTTTATTTTTTACCACATTAATCCAAAACAGTCTCCTACGACTAAGATAATTCAATACGACTTTATTCATCCAGCAATTAATTCTGTATTTTTTAGTCTTGAGTCTAGTATATCTTTTTTTTAAATAACAGGTCCAAGTTTCTTTCTTTTTTTCCTTCTTGGTGCTGGGGATTGAATCAAGAGGCACTTTACTACTGAGCCACACTCCAGCCCTTTTTATTTTTATTTTTTAATTTTTTAGAGACAATCTTGCAAAATTATTTAGGGCCTCGTTAAATTGCTAAACCTGACCCTAAACTTATGTATGATCCTCCTGCCTAGCCTCCCACATCACTGGGAATACAGGTGTGCACCATCATGACCAGCTAGGTCCAAGTTTCTTTAACAAGAATTAGAACGATTATATGTCAATGATCTCATGAAGAAGTCACTTCACCAAAATCACAAACTTGGAATCAGCTAGATCAAATGGGAAAAGATAAAACTTCACCAATTATTAATTATTTCTTTTTTTAGTACTGGGAATTGAATCCAGCGGTGCTCTATCATTGAGCCACATCCCCACCCCGTTTTTATTTTTTATTTTGAGACTGCTTAGGGCTTTGCTAAGTTGCTAAGGCTGGTCTCCAACCTGTGATCCTCATGCCTCAGACTCCCAAATTGCTGGAATTACAGACATACTCCATCCCACCCAGCCTTAATTTCTTAAAATAATATTACTAGCTGAAATAAAACACCCAAGAAACATTGAGTAGAATGAAATATTGTAAAATATACCAGTGCTACTTAGAATTTGTACATAACCACAAGTCCACAAGGTTAAGGACTATACCACTTAACTTTTACATCCTTTCAATCCATGCTGAAAAAAAGGTATTGAAAGAGCACATAAGTATGCATGCCTATGATTCCAGCCACTTGGGAAGCTGAGGCAGGAGAATCACAAGTTCAAGAGCAGCCTGGACAATTTAGGGTGACTGTCTCAAAATAAAATTTTTAAAAGGGCTGGGGAGTGTAGGTCAGAGGCAGAACACTTGCCTAGCATGCAAGAGGCCAAGTCTGATTCTGGGTACCACAAAAAAAAGGCATAAGTACTGAATGAATGTAGTACTCAACAGTTTAGAAAAATTCTTGAAGGCATAGCCTGCAATGCTCACTGTTACCTGTAAAACAAATTTTATCAAAAACTTACCCCAAAAGATCACTAAAATACAAAAAAAGCCAACACTAGACTCCTTATTTAAGATCCTGTTAAGTCACACATTTGGCTCCATTTTTTAAACAAAACGATTTGACAAGTATCCAACAAGCCCACTTCTCCACTTCCATCCTCTTTTCAATTGGTCCTAGAAAAGTTAAGAGGTTCCACTCACTGTAGTAAAAGACTTGACTTTCTTTATGACCTTGGGCAAAGTCTACCAAAAGAAGGCTACAATGATGTTTGCATATTTCTACTAATTACTGACATTCAATCCTAATAGCATGCTAACTGTAGTGAAGTTCTGTAAGTGGAACCTCCAGAACTGAAAGCTTTTTGAGTTGTAAATCAACTAACATAAAATATGAACTATTTTTAATCTTAGTTTGATTCGTGGTAAAAAAAAAAATTTTAAAAGAAAGGATGGGTATAAAACTAGCATTAATTTGCCATTTTCCTGCTTTTGTTTAAAAAAAAAAACAGCTGGACTTACAAATAAAAATGTAAAACTTGGCAAAGAATGGTGAGTTGGAACATTAAGCAATCTACAATCTGAAAATTATGCAGATAAATCTATCATTTCAAGTCACTAATTTGTATATCCACGTAGAGCAATAATCTTAGTATTGCTTTACTAGCATTATAAAGATAAATCCCTGCCTTGGAGGAACATCTACTAAGAACATTTCATTTCAGGATCTTAGGGAAGTTTACGAGCAGTATCTCTTTAGGCTTCCCTAAGGTACTCTAAAGTGCTTAACATCATTCACACATCCAGCTACCACTAGGGTGAGAAGTAAATAAACACGATTTACCTATGCAATTATTTACCACAGAATTCTGTTCAAGATGCAACAGTAAACATTCACAAAGGTATTTGATACCCAAAGAAAACAGAGAATATTAAGTATAAGATTCGCCCGTAACTGACCACTATGGAAACCAGATACCCCCCACAAGAGCAGTTCTTTATTACCACTCTTGATTTGAAAAAGAATGTCAACATTTTAACAGTACACAAGATAAACAGAACTTAGTGAAATCCCTTCTTCCAGATTCTCAAAAGGTGTTTATAAGAAGTGAGGTAGAGCAACGCCCCCCTAAAAGGACCCTACTAAAACAGAATTAAATACCGAAAACACAGGGTGGGTCAGGAGGGTTAGAAATGGTGATCTTCTAACTTAATTACCCAGAGGAACCACAGGGTTGGAGGCTAAGAACGTGAGATCGGGGTGGGGGTGGGTAGCGAAGTGAAATCTAACCCCAGAAATCACAACACAGGCCGCAGCCTAAGAGCTGAAGCTGGCGGGAAGTGAGCTTCTCTTCCGTTCCCAGGGGAAAGTCCACGAAAAAGCGGCTCCACACAGCGGACGTACGAAGCGCCAATAGTGCATGCATACCAATGCGCTGGACCCACTGAAGGACCGGGTTGAGAAGGGGAGGAGATCCCGGCAGACGGCCCTGGAAGAGGAGGACTAAGGTTGGGAGCAGCGGCAACGTCTGGACGAAAGGGATTACCTAACTGTGACGACAGAGAAGTGTCCTCAGGCTCCGGCGATGGTCCCGAATGCGCAGTGTGGGGTGTCTTTCGCGCTTAGCCCACAGCAGCAACAGAACCAGCTCCTTCAGCCAGTCGCCATTTCCCGCCTACCGACCTGCGGCACCGCACGGACAGGGACCCGGATGAAAAGCGGCCTCCCCGCGCAGGCGCTATGACTTTCTCCTCCCCCTCCCTCCACAATTCCTCGAGGCGGGAGGGAAGGAATGCAGGCGGCCACAGCTGAGGGGGTTGGAGGGTTCGACTTTTACTTCCGTGAAGAGGTTAAGTTCCTGACGCCAGAAGAAACTCGTGAGTCTAGATTCTTGACAAAAAATGAATACAATACCTTAGGACCGAATGGAATAAGAAAGGACAAAACTTATCAGTATACGCCAGGGCAAGGGGGATGTTTGTACTTTAGGGGCCTCCGTAGCCGGCTGTGTAGTGGTCGCAGGGGGAGTAGGGAGTAAAACGTTAGGAGCGGAGAGGCGGGGACGCAGAGGACGGTTTTTCCTCCCGCTGCTAACGGAACTGCTTACGGCCGAGCTGGGAGGGGGAGCGCGCCCTCGCCCAGAAGGCGGGGCTTAGGAATGCGTCGCGCACCCTGGCGGCTAGGGTTTAGTGGTGGTGGGCGCGCCAGATGGGTGGAGCCGAGTTGGACCGGGCGGGACTAACGGCTTGGCGCGCTGGAGGAGGTAGTTTGTGCTGAGTTCTCCGCGAGGGCAGGAAGAAGCTAGTCTTATTCCTTTCCTGTGATTTTGGTGACTCCTGATGGTCCTCTTTCCTGCTCACTGCCTAGAAGGCATAACAGTCGCTCCTGGATCAGTCGTTAAATTCCTGTCCTTCGATTCCATACATTGTTGGCGGTAGTTCTACAGACTGAGAACTCAATCTTTCAGACAAATGGGTTCCCACTTGGAATCCTAGGTACCTCCAAAAAAAGAGAAAAAGTATCAACAGGAGTATTCAATCAGTGGAATATCAGAAAACCAAGCCTATTAGCTGGAGAGCATTATCTTCGGTCTAAAACGCCAAGCTACTCTCATTATTCGGTCAAGAAATTATTTGTTGAAAAAATACTAGGTACGAGGGATAAAACAATGAAAAAGGCAAACATGGACGCTACCTTTCCAGAATTAACAGTCTATTGAAGAAGACAAACTATTTAAAAACAGTGTAATAAGGTTACTACAAGGACTGCAATGCCAGGCTTGTAGGGGCACGTGAGGGTGTCCACAAGGGGGTCTATAAAGCCTTTTGTAAGGTGATATCTAAGTAATACATAAAGGAAAAGTTAGTGTTGCAAGGAAACAACTGACGGAAAAGTCCAAAGAGATTGTGTAGAGCAATTGGGGAAGTAATTGTGCTCAGGGAAAGAGGATTTGGGCCGTGGGGGAAGGTAGTAACCACAGAGGAGACTGAGAGGTAAGGCTAGATAACATACCCTAGTGAATATGATTGCTTCTATTTCAAAATGTGAAGTAGGTGATTGTCTTTTGAAAACCTTATATATTACAGAATCCATTTGCACCCTAAATAGTTCCAGTACAAAAATGTTTTGAATGTAACTTGATTGAGAGCCAATGATATACAGCTCATAGAACTAGCAAAAATCCACAAGTTAATTCCTGAAATCAAATAATTACTGGTTATCCAGTGTGTATGGTGGAAGGCAATAGTATGGAAACTAAACAATTACCCCCATTAATTACTGAAGTTATTTTTAAATGAAGTGAAAATTTAAAATTTGGGGGAGGGGATCCTCCAAGAAGAAATTATTCACACCTTCATATTCCTAACATATGCCATTAACAAAACACTTTTATATGCATTTTATTCTCCCCTACAACCATGTGAGATAGTCAGAATGGGTGCTATTTGTCCCCCACACTTTCAGTTGAAGACACTGAAATGAAAGAGAAATAGAGGGGGGAGAGAGAAGCATACCCACTAGTAAGACAACTGGGGCTCAGATCCCACTCTGCTCTTTACACAACCTCTGACAATGTTGTTACCATTGTTAGTTTTGTTAAGGTGGTTGGTTTGTTTATTGTGGTTCTTGGCCCTCTACCATTTTTTATTTCGAGATAGGGTCTTGCTAAGATGCCCAGGCTGACTTTGAATTTGTAGTCCTCCTTCCTTAACCCCACAAGTCTGTTATTACAGGCTTGCCTCATGATACCCAGCTTGTTTAACACTTTAAAATATTTGTTTTTCATCTTAGCTATCATTTACTTCAGTGGTCTCTACTAGACGCTTTCCTCCAAAATCTAAGTACATTGTTGTGAAATTCTATTGAGTCTATAAAAAACTCTTAGCAAGGTTCTTTCCTTGCTCCTTAAATGGTAGTTGTTGATATCATTAAGGTTTTTTTTAAATTTTTTTTTTTTTTTTTTTTAGTTTTCAGCGGACACAACATCTTTGTATGTGGTGCTGAGGATCGAACCTGGGCCGCATGCATGCCAGGCTAGCGCGCTACCGCTTGAGCCACATCCCCAGCCCCAATATCATTAAGTTTAAATACTAACCCTGTCCAAGATTTTAAACTAATAGTCTAAAGAATTCTAGTTTTTTTAAAAGTATGAAGTTTATTTATATTCAAAGCAGTGGCAACCGGAAAAAAATGAAAAACTAGTAGCATGCAGCTTTTTGAACTATTCAAAACTACTACTGTATGAAAATACTAATGAAATAGGTTATTCATAAAGTAATGCACTACAAATATCTCAGATCTTGAACGGTTTTTCAGTAGGTCCTTTATTCCAAGGTTCAGCTTGAGCATCCCTAATCCAAAATAAGATATGCTTCAAAATCCAAAATTTTTTGAGTACCACATGACACCAAAAGTGGAAAATTCCATACCTGATCTCATATAATGAGTCACAGTCAAAATTCAGGCACACAAATTGCAGGTAGGCATGCTAAAAAATATTGTATAAAATTGCCTACAAAATATGTGTATAAGATGTACATGAAGGCCAGGTGCAGTGGCACACTCCTTTAATACCAGCAACTCCAGAGGCTGAAGCAGGAGGATCACAGTTCAAGACCAACCTTGACAACTTAGTGAGACCTGTCTCAAAACGAAAGGGATGGGTACGTAGTGCAGTGGTAGAGTACCCTAGGTTAAATTTCCAAAACTACATACACCACAACAAAGAAAAAGAATATACATATATATATGGTATATAAATGAGATACATAAATTTCATGTTTACTGAGATTTGACCTCCAGTTAGAATGGCAGCAATCAAGAATACAAATAATTATAAATACTGGAGAGGTTGTGGAGAAAAAGGAATACTTTTATACTGTTGCTGGGATTATAAAGTAGTACAACCACTATAGAAGTCAGTATGGAGATGCCTCAAAAGACTAGAAATGGAACCAGTATATCACCCAGGTATATCACTCATCAGTATTTATCCTAAAGAATTAAAGGTCAGCATACTATAGTGATACAAACATACTCATATTTATAGCAGCACAATTCACAATCACAAACTCTGGAACCAACCTACGTGTCAATGGATGAATGGATAAAGAAAACGTGCTATATATACACAGTGGAGGTTTTTTCAGTAATAAAGATGAATAAAATTATGTCATTTGCAGGAAAATGGATGAAACTTGAGAACATTGTGTTAAGTGAAATAAGCCAAACTCAGGAAGTCAAAGGTCATATGTTTTCTCTCACATGTGGAAGCTAGAGAGGAAAAAGGAAAAGAAAGGTGGGTCAGGCGAGAGCAATAGAGTAGAGGAAAGGGATTAGGAGAATGGAGGCAGGAGGAAAATGAGGGAATGATATTGGTGAAATTGTTATATCATGTGCATGTACAAGTATGTAACAAATCCCACCGTTATGTATAATTATGCACCAATAAAAATGTGGAAAATGGGCTGGAGTTGTGGCCTAGTGGTAGAGTGCTCACCTAACATGCTTGAGGCACTGAGTTCGATCCTCAGCACCACATAAATGTAAAATAAAGATATTGCATCCACTTAAAACTAAAAAATATTTTTTAAAAATGTGGAACACAAAGTTTGTGCTTAGACTGGGGTCCCATCTCCAAGATACCTCTCAAGTGTACATATGCAAGTATTCCAAACCCCCCCCCCCCAAAATGAAATCCAACACAATTTTGGTCCAAAGTATTTCACCTATGAATGTGCAATGATCAACTTTCATTGTCAACTTGATTGGATTAAGAGTTGCCAAGGATTAAGAGGCTTCTGAGTGATTCTATGATGGTGTTTCCAGATGTGGGACCACAAATGGAGAAGGACAGCTCAGACCTTTCCCCTGAACATGGGCAGCACTGTTCAAATGGCTGGGGGCCCATTTGGAACAAAAGACAGGAGGAGGAGGAAGCCCTGTGGGTGTGAGCTATAGTTTCCTTGATCAGGTACCCTATTTGCTGTGGCCATCAAGTACATCAGAGTCCAGCTTCTTCACTCTTCCAACGTGTACTCTGACCAGTGATTGTCCAGAGGCTTTCAGACCTTCATACTCAGACTGAGGTTGTATCATTAGTCTCTCCTGTTTATAATTATTTCCTAAACAATCATCTAGAACTGAGCCACTACTAGTTCTGTCAGCTTGCTGGTATACAGGTGGCTATTGTGGGACTATCCAGCTTCTGATCATGTAAACCAATCTAATAAATCCCCTTTTATAATCATACATATCCTGCTGGTTCTATTCCTCTAGAGAACCCTAATACCAGAATATATTTATCTTGTATTTGAAATATAAGGAATATATTTCATCATAATTCAGAATTATATTCTATCTGTATGATGTATGCTTTTATTATTCTTTCAACTCACTAAGGCAAAAATATTAAATATAAAAATATCAGAACTGTTATTTTGCCTTAATATTGTAATTACTTGATGGCAGTGGCCATCTGAAACTTTGTAAACTTTTCCCTTAAACTTGTTTCTCCCTCTGTGTTTCCCACCTTAATAAATGCAGTTTTTCCAGGTGTGGTGGTGCACACCTGGATGTTGAGAGCCACAGCCAAAGGGGCCCCAGCAAACTTCCAGCTGCCAGCAAACTTCCAGCTGCTGGCTGATGATTGGCTCACAGCGGCCCCAGCAACATCTAGCTGATTGGCTCCTCGGCCCCAGCAACATCTAGCTGATTGGCT